TAAATATATAATCTTAGATTATCAGAGATATGATATATTCAGAGATATATGATATATGAGTGCTGTTATTAGTATCATAATTATACAAAATTATTGAGATGTTTCTAGCCTAGAAATTAAAAAAAGCCTAAAAGATCTAATTATATCAATTGGTACAATTTATGAAAAAAAAAGTGTACTTGTAGTTATTATTTCTATGTCCAATAAAAAAAGAAGACATCAAAATAATTTTTTGTTTAGCAATCAAATATTTTTGATAGAATTGATCTGGAAAAAAAACAACAATTAAAATGAATATCAGTGAACAGGGTAAATGAATTATATTTTATCCTGCTCATTTCCATTGATACATTTTGCTGGCTGACAATATCAAGAACTAATAGGTGAAAAGACAGATATCCAGACTGTATAAAATCTCACATAGACTTGACACAATGAAATGTCACCATATACTCTTTGCGACCTTATAGGCAAAATAGGTCTGACATCCAATGGGTAAAAATTGGCTCTGCTGTCGCACATGTAACACACAGATGGCTGACTGTGGAAAGGTGAAGAATAAACAGTATAAAAATGCTCGGTAAGTAGAAAAGGATGCTCACCACATTATTTTATTTTTTACTTCTTCATTGGATCCATAGATTTGGCGCACATGCGTCTACAAGTCACCTGCGCACATACAGACAAGCAAAGGAGGTCTAACATTGGAAATCCCTTAAATAAGTCATTATATAATATATAAAAACAAACTTTAAAGTAAAGCAAAAAAATAATTAAACAGCGTCTTTTTTTTTCTTTCAACATGAAATACCCACAGATGTATAGGGCAGGTGCTCAGACGATTGGCAACTTGGCATTTGAGGCATCGTAGAAGGTCCCCCCAAAAAATAAAGGTGATAAGTCTTACAGTCTTCTACTGTGTTTGTTTGTTTGTTTGGTTTTTTTGTTGTTGTTGTAAGCAATCAATAGAATAGGGAAGGTGACAATACGATCAGCGTTCCCTGGTCTGGTGACAGTCTCTGTGTGACCCTTGGGCCACGGCTGTTCTGCTTAGTCAGGCACTGTTCTGAGTTTTGATCTCCTTTTTGCTGCGTTAAGTATGCCCCATAGGTCAGATGTCACATTCACTGTCGCTGGATGTGATGGAAATGGCAGAGGTGGCCGCTTTGCTGGACAGGCTAGCTGCAGGACTGGAGGCTGAGCCCAACGGTTCCCCTCGTTCATCTGGGCCCAATGAGCGTCCAGATCCCTGGGACAAGACCTGCTGCTGCAGCCTGACAAAACACAACAGGAGAGGACAGTCAGCATAAGCCACAGAACAGATCACAACCACAGCATCCTCACACTCCACTGGCTTTGGGTTTGCATGCAGCAAGGCTAGATGGGGATCTGGCTGATGGACAACCTTGACATTTAACCCGGACACTGAACACTCCTTACAGGGAAAATACCTACACTGCATCCATGACTTTTATTCCAGAGTTTCAATGGCTCATTCTACATCAATGGATCAGTGAGAAGCTGAGGATAAAGCTGAGGATACACAGGCATCTTACTGGGTCTTGTTCTGCAGAGCTCAAAGACTGCAAAACATGGCCTTGCTTGTTTCCTTCCTCCAAGTGGATGCTGCGTGTCTCACATATCTCAGATACCTCACAGTTCATTCACAACCATTAGGAAACCAGTGAAATGTTCTGGACAACTGGCTGGAATGTCATGTATGGAGTCAGTGTTATGGGTGTCCAAAGGCACCTAGAGTTTTGTTATTGTTCCTAAGATCCTAAGATCTCAATTCACTGGCAGGACAGACATTTATGAAGCACACATGCAGTCTAGATTGTATGTGTCAAACTGGCCATTTACTAGACAATCAGATGGTACAATCTTCTTTAAATTTACTAAAACTGTGTAATATAAGGAGAAATTTAAATGATCAATTTCATTGGTATCCAGTCAGCAAGGCCCTTGAAGTACATATAGAGCTAAAGATGAATATACAATCAGATTGTATACTGTATGGCCAGCTCAATAAACTTTTCAGGCTCTGTATCTATTTGTATTTTATTTATATTTACACCTATCTCATCT